CGTGTACATGGTTACTGTGTATGTGCGATTTTGAAAAACGTGGCAAGAAGTTTGCGATTCTGAACTTTTTCCCAATTTTTGCAGTTAATAGTTGTCATGATTAAGCAGTTTTGTTCCAGAAAATTTCTAGCATAAGTGTAATTCGGCTAGCAGATTGTTGGAAAAAAGTGTTCAGTAAATAAAAAGAAAAGAAACATGGGTACTTTTCCGTTTCGCCGGCGCAAATCTCGCCAAGCAGACTTTGTTGGCGACAACATACAGTATACACATAAAAAATGTTAAATTCTAAGAATTTTTTTTTTTTAATTTTGAAGGCATAAACATTTTAATATGGTTTAAAATTTTGTAAAAAGCCAATAAATAAAGACAATATAAATTTGTAAAAAAGACATTAATTTAAGAATTTATATGATTTTCATGGTTCAAAATCCTGATTCGCCGGTTCGTATCACGTGACCCCAAGTGATCTCATCTCACATAAACTACGCTACTAAAATTTAATTCGCTCAGTAATAATCTACATTAATTTTAAGTTAAATCTTAATTTGGAATACAAGTTTAAATGCAAGAATTATTTCAATTTGTACAAATAGCTTACTCAGAAATTATGTAAAACCGCAGTGCTTTACTTCGCTAGTGCATTCTCATTAGAATTGATGAATTTAACACTTGATTTTCGCCTTCGGATGGAGCGGTGTAATTGCGTTCTAATTGACTTAATTACCGTGAATTGTCTTAGGGGATAAAATTTAAATATCGTGTAAAAATTCTATATTATTGTATGCCAGTATTGAAAGAAACAATCTGATAAGAAATGGCTTCAACTTGTTTTGAAACTGAGGCGTAAAAGGTTACCAGCGAAGATATTCCGTCTGGCATCAGTTAAACCATTATTGGCAACTTTATCGTTTGCGCTGGCAAAACGGAAAAGTACCGAAACATGTCTTTACTTCGTGAAGACAAAATGGCGGCAAAAAAAAATAGAGGTTTGCTGTAGCAGAGTTGGTCGCCAAATTTTTGCCAAAAAAACGCCAAGTTACCATAATCCAAAGATTAACCCAGTTACATTCAGAAGTGATATCAGTCTCAAGCTGCAACAAACTGCACAGATGTTTACTGATCTGATTCTGAATTTGTTGAAACCCCTGCATATAAAGACTGTAGATATTAGTTCAACTTCATAGCTCAAAAGCAAAACATTTTACACCTTCTTCTAGCTTTATTAGAATGAGACAATAATGGAAAATTAATATCGATATCATGGCATCAAATATTTTGGTTGATCTTTGGATTATACAGTCAAAAGTCGTTAATCCGGACTCGTCGGGACTTCGGCGATTCCGGATTATCGATTTTTCGGGATTATAGATCATCAGTTTAAATCTCATAAGATGGCATGCAGAAATTCTAAAATTAAAAATATGAAACCATAATTTAAGAAATAAAGAACAATTATGATCTAAAGGTTTATCAAAATTTACAAAAAAAAAAAAAAGCTTAATATTTATTTGTTTACTTTATTAAACATTTCTCTCAATGTAAGTTGTTTAAGTTGCTTCATTTTATGTGATAATACTTTCTCTTTAATTCTATAAAAAGACATAATTTCTTGTTCAGTTACAAAGTTCCGCTGTTCAAATCTCGTTAATTGCTGTGCCGAGAATACCGATTAACTTGTCAATCGAAATTTTTTTGTTTTCACTAACCTCTCTGTCACATTCTTCACGTCTTTATCCATTTTTTGCAGCAATTCCACTTTTTGTTTGTTGGACATCGAAACATACTTTTGTTTTGTAGATCCTTTGGAAGTTCTAGCATCGGAAATTCTATTTGACATAATCGAAAGTTCAAGTTTACTTTTATAAAATTGCTTTTACAGTCTGCAAAAAATAATAAGCGGGATCCAATTCGAAGATTAAGGAAACAAAGCAATCATTAACATTAACTGAAATAGATAATTAGATAATTTTAGCTTACACCGCCCGTTATACATTAAACGCACAGGCGAAAACGTATTCTGCACTTGCGCACACGCATATGCGCAGTAGTCAAAGTCTTATGCGCACGCGTAAAACGCCTGTGCGCATGTGCCAATGCGGCGCATGCGCAGAAAGTTTTTAGCTTTGAGGTCCGGATTATGGGTGTCCGAATTAACGACTTTTGACTGTATTAACTTGGCGATTTCTTGGCGAAAATTTGGCGACCAACTCTGCTACAGCAACCCTCTATTTTTTTTTTTTTTCGCCGCCATTTTGTCTTCACGAAGTAAAGACATGTTTCTTTTTATTTACTGAACACTTTTTCCAACAATCTACTAGCCAAATTACACTTATACTAGAAATTTTATCTAACAAAACTGCTTAATCATGACAAATATTCACTGCAAAATTGGGAAAAAGTGCACAATCGCAAACTCCTTGCGCGTTTTTCACAATAACACATACACATAAACCATGTACACGTCGACTTATTTTTACTTAAAAAAAATCCCAGAATTGCACAAAAATGGCATTGCGCACACTCTTCACTATATCCATGTACACTGCTTTTTTCTCATAAATTAGAAAAATTTCACGAAAATGCATGACAATTTTCTGAATCTTTAAACCCGATAAAAAACATATGAAATTACCTTATCGCGAAAATGTATATACCCTTTCCAAATATGAACATTTCCACATATAAAATAAATAAAATATCCAAAAACTTTTACCTCTAAATTATCTATTATATTATAAACGTCACCAACGAATTCATACCGCGAACATTACAAATACTTAGTGTCAAATATTTAAAATTATTTCCATGCACGTTTTACTTCAACTAAAACGTATACCAAATTCCTAAAAACATAAAATTCACAAATAACCATCATTTAATTAAAATATCACTAAACCATGTACACGTCTACTTATTTTTACTTAAAAAAACATCCCAGAATTGCACAAAAATGGCATTGCGCACACTCTTCACTATATCCATGTATACTGATTTTTTCTCGTAAATTAGAAAAATTTCACGAAAATGCATGAAAATACTCAACGTATACTACTCAAACATATTCCAAAATACTACAAACATATAACTCACAAAATCACGATCATTAAATTAAAATATAATTAAATAAAAAAACACTACTTCAAATATAAATAAGCACATACAATTAAATTAATAAAAATTAAATTACAATCCTAATTACTTTAAACTAAATCACTTGCTAATAAACAATTTTCAAATAATACCATTTTAATTTATTTACTCCTTACATTTAAAAACAATGCATAAAAATAATATCCTCAAATGATTAAAAATACTAACTTACCTAATCTTCTTCAGAATCTTCATTACGTCGCTGCAGTACTACTGCTAATTTCTAAATCCTAAATCCAGTAGTCAACTGGAAGTCTATTCACCAAGTAATAAGAAATTAATAAAATTTCACCTATACTCAAACTACTTTCAGCAAACCACGTACCCTTCCTTACACTTCTTTTCACAAAATGTCCATTTTCACCATATTTCTTGCACCGCCATTTAAACTTGTAATATCCTTCCTTTCACACAATCTCAACTTATTATTATTATCAGATAAACACATTAAAAATTTACAATTCACTTTACATAGCGCCATGCAATCCGAAAATTAATCAACAGTACAGATTTCCCCCCTTTTCCGATTAAACAACTGTAATTCATCCATTAACGTCACATGACATATCTCATGATCTCTCATTTCCCTCACACAAAATAATGCGTAATCGGAACTGAGTGCTTCTCAGATTATTACCAAAGTCCTAGGTAGTAACCTTTATCGCCTCCCAAATGTCGCCAAACTACCAGTTACCATATTCCAAAGATCAGCCAATATTTTCTTTTATCCTACAAACTGCCATTATATAAATTCCCAGATATATGGAATCTAAGTGATAACAAACTTTGCCTGTCTTTTGTTCCATCATTTAACCATATCATAAAACAAATTTTCTGCGTATTTGCACCAGATAAATATTTTTTTAGTCACTGTAAAGTGTTAAAACCCAACATTTTTCTACTTCCTTACTCTGGCAGACATTCCAGCATTCTGGATATACTGTATTTCTTTCATGTGCATGTTCTTTTTTATCTCCATTTCAGTTTTGATACCTGTCAGATGTTTGCACTAGGCAACATCTGCTGGTTTCTCTGCAGATTCTGTCCAAAATCTATTGTTTCTGAAAAATTCTGCTGATGTTTTCCTTTTGCTTAATAAATAAACCTCAATAATTTTGTTGAGGCATATTCATCAAGCAAATGACCTCAATACTTAATGTGTCCAGCAATTTTTTTTTTTTTTTTTTTTTTTTTTTCTGTCAAGTATTTGATCAAAAATAAGTATAAATTTTTCTCGCACTTGTTTCAATCAATCGCCGTGTTTTTACCTATATTTGACTACCTACTAAATCATCTGCAGATTATTCTTCAGTCTAACAGCATATGAAATGCAAAGCAGTAAGAAAAAGAATCTTGAAACCACAAAAACAATTACCGGCAGGAAGACTTTCCCCTGCAGCTTCACATTTGCTTTCTAATAATTCATTCATTTAATGTCCACTTCTGCACTTTTGCTCAGCATACAAAATTGTGTGCTTTAACATGGAAATATTTTTTGCTTTATTTTTCAAAGCATTTCACATAGCAAATAAAATTCTGAAAATACTAATCAAATGTTTAGAAATTTTGACTCATGTCTGCATTAAAATTCTATAAATAACAGCTATTGTTATGTATTAAAATGGATTTTAATATATAACGAAAGCTGTATATGCCACATTAAATTATATGAACTATAATTCCGATATAATGTATACCGCGATTTCATTTCACTAAAACAATATTCTGGAAACACTACTTGTCTGTTACGCACAGCATACCATGTAAAAAAAAAAAATCAATAAATTTATATCAGTTTACATCGGTTATTCCTCTTGAAATGTACGCTAAAAGAAGACACATTCACTTACTTTAAAGTCAAAGTAGTTAGACAACGATATCTTTCTTGTACCATATATTTAAAGTTGCCTTACATTCAAGTCTCTACGATACAAACGGTTCAAAAATTCAGGATAGCCTTGTATTCCGCACAGACTGTAGTTAATAAAAATCTGGGAAGATAAATGAGAAACAGGGTAAAATTAGTAATAAAAGTAACATAAATTTTTCATTTATATATGTTTCATACCCTAAATTTTACAACAAAGGTATGTTAATACATAAATCTTTGCTCTGATCTGTTCAACTTTTCTTAACTATAAAACAACTTTTTGCATCTCAGCTTTCACAAGCTTTACGTATTTCTTAATGGATACTAAAACGATTAGAGCAACATGCAATATCATAAGTCAATAAATAACAGTATCAATTTCAATAAAATAACCGTGAATTTGATATTCATATTAAATGAAACCGGAATACTTAATGAAAATTATATGGAATATTCTTAGGTACCTTATAATAGATTAAACAGCTACAAGGAGAGATTCAAAGGACAAATAATAAAACATGAATCGCATTTAAAACGCAAGGAGAAAATCCGGCACACTTAGACATTGCGTCACGATATTTGTACGGTGGTATGATATCGAAGTCACATCGGGATGCCAGATTTAATTAACTAATTTTCACTTTCGGACAAGGAATTTTGTTCCATCAAAAGACAATTTTTTTAATATACTATTATATAAGTTGACAAGATTCGGAACGCTTAATATATATATATATATATTATAAACATATTTATATATTTTTATAAATAAATTACTTCATTATTATTCTTAAGCTGTGTTCGCAACGCAAAGCGTCAACGCGGAAAAAACGCTTTCCGCGTACAGCACGGCAACTTTCACTTTAAAAGTTGTCATATTCTCGCACTAGATGGCGCTTCATATCGGAAACGGAGGTAAAACGTGAAATTTATGTGTGGTATTTTGACTTTTTACGATTATATTTTTAAATTTAAATGGATTTAGTTTATACTCGATTAAAACTCATTTTACTTCTTGCTTTTTGTAAGAGAAGCAGAATGCAGTGGTTTATATTAATATATGAGGGATGACTGCAGCAAGGAAATGCAAATAATTTAAGTGAAGAAATGCGCTTAAACGAAACGAAATTTCTTTTAATTACTTTCGCATGACACCTCATCAATTCGATGAACTTCTAGCGCTCATTGAACTATTTAGTCAAAAGCAGAACATTAGTTTTTGTCAGAATATCGCAGAAAAGAACCGTTTGGACGATAGGAATAGAATATTCCAGAAAATGATTGTTGTATAAATCAAACGCCGTATACATCTAATTTAATTTATTTATGAATGTTGTTGAATGATAATTAAAAAATCATGCAATTAGCATGATTCTATTTTGGATAGTAAATTTTTCATGGGGTTGAATACTATAAATGTTTTTGCATGATGTATGAACTTCCCTTAAATACTACCTTAAATGAGCTTCCCTTAATTGCTTTAAATAATGCAATAAAAAGTATATTTTGTTTATAAATATATGTATGATTTAAGAGCATTATTAAATTAAATATCACACTTAAAAAAAGCAGTTATTTTTAAGGTAAAAAACAACAGCAATTTTTTTTATAATATTTCAGTTTCTGTTTTTCTGTACATATTTTTTTACTTTAAATGTAACAGTAATTACTTCAATTAGTCATTCATATATTAATGAGCCGCCACTATCTAAAGGTTTATTTTATAAGGTCACTTTTATCTAAAACTCATTGAATTGCACTTCTTTTACTGCGTTAAAAATTGAATTCCATAATTAGCAAATTTGCTAATGCTCACGCAAAAATTCTTTAAATTAATAAAAAAAACTAACATAAAGATTAAACCCGTCGAAAAGCGATCATGCATGTTAAGAAAAACAAATATGAAGCCATTAAAATGCATAGCAGTATTCCATAAAATTATACATATTAGTTACATACTAACGAGCTTCTTTTCTGTATAGATAACAGTTTTCTTAATTTTTTTAAACAAATGGTTTATTTGTCACCACTCGTTTTAAATTCAAAACTCACTAAAGTTCTTAATTAGATGAAACAACAACTTTATACTAATACCAGTAGCGCTTTTGCTAGTCTCGTGTTAACAGAATGTCAAAAGAAGAATAATGCACACAATGCCGAGCAAAAATTAGGTTTATATGAATAATGAATGAAATTAAATGAAAATAAATGCAAGCTTCTTGTAGCTACTCCCCAAAAAATCCGCGGTAGAATGATAGTCGAGGTAGAAAAAAGGTGTATTCGTACCATTATTAAAAGTAGAAAAAAGGAAACCCCGAACCCGCAATACAAGTTCTTAGTAAAATCTGAACTTTCTACTGAGCGTATTACCTCTGCGCTGAGGTATCTTGTCGATAACGTGGTAAATCTTGTAGCATATCCAAAAATATATTATAAAATTTTTTAAAAAAAGAGAGCATCTGATTAAAAATACACTGTAAATTTATTTAATGACAGACAAAGAGAAAAACATGCATGCGGTATTAATCCAGCACATCATTACAATATTATAAGATATTAATTACAGAGTTAAACATCATTAGTTCACATCAACAAGAAGTTGATCATTGGAATTTTTTAAATATTAATGCCAAAACAGATTTATTAGTGTAGTCTCTGGTTTGAGGTCTACAAAAATAAACATGATTTTGCTTGTTTCTGTGATTTGGTTTATGGCAAAGCACTGGATAGCTATCTGTGTAAGGGTGGGGGAAATTGCATTCCTGGACGACTTTCTAAATGAAACTGTCTCATACACGTTACACATGAGGAAAACCACGAAAACAATCATGCAGCCAGCCCGTTAGCAGGCATTGGAACTCCGAACCGAACTACCAGTGTTCAGCGATTTTACCATTCAGCCACTGATGGGCCGCAGAAACCAACTCGATCAACAGCAGCTAAGTATGCAAAATCCTCACATTATTCAACTATCAGTTCTTTGTCAAGAATTAATTTTTTCATGCAGAGATTACAATTTCAATACAGAACTACAAATATATCCAGAAATGTAAATTAGATACATTATATCTTTTTCTGTAATATGAACATCATTTGATCGATACAAAACACAAAAAAATTCAATATCATTACAAAAAAAATGTAAAAAAATTACCCTTTCTCAGAAGACTGCATTTTACGCAAACTAATTAATTTCAGTTTTCTTTCCGACTCTATAACCTGCTGTAAAGATACAAGATAATTACAGACACTCATTCATCGAACTTTACCGAAACGTTTCTCAAGGTTATCTGTCTGAAATTTTCCTAAAAGTATAAAAAGTGATTTAAATTATTTTAACAAATAATTTTAAAATTCTTTCAATGTTTCTATCGTATGGAGAAGAGCGACCTGGGTTTCTTTTGACAGTTTCCCAATTTGTAACTTACAGTTTTTTATGGTTGGGGAAAAATCATTCCGTGATATAAGCCATGAACATAACTGTGATAACTATTCTACGCTTTTATCTTCTGGTGTCCTTTTGGGCTCATAAATACATACTGAAACTATAAGGTCTTTTTAAAGTGTTTAGCATTCACAACTTTCCCCCATTTTAAAATTATATCAATAAAATGTTTACTTCCTAACACATCCTTCCCATACACAGTTCTATTATTTTGCGATTCAATTTGCAGAGCAATTAAGGTTTTTTCATCAAAAAGTTTAATAGCAATACTTACATTCTGCTTCTCTATAGAGGATGGAAATGAAACTTTTCTAGATAAAGCTGAAGCCATTTTAAAATATTAAAATGTTTTAAATGGTTGTTTTTTAAATTAATGTTTTCAATTATAACAATTATTGTAAACATTAATAGTTGATGTGGTGATATGTTTTTACAGGAAACATTGCTACAATATTTGTTTTTTGATAATAAAGAACTTATCATAATTGTTTGAAGAGTTATTGCTTCCATCTAGTTATTCGAAAACACACCCCTTTTATATGAAACTCGTGGTTTTATATATATTTCATCCAATAATAAACTGACAAGCTTTTCAGAATTATTTAAAATTTTGCATTTTTTCTTCAAATACATCCAATGACTTGTTTGTAGCAGAGAATCTGCTCAAACAATTTTCAGATTTAACTGACTTAAATATGAAGGATGGGGCAATATAAAATATTTACTGTTGCATATGGTATTGATACCAAAACAGATTTATTATTGTAGACTCTGATTTGAGGTCCACAAAAATTAACATAATTTAGCTAGTTTCTATTATTTGGTTTATGGCAAAGTACTCGAGGGCTATCTGCGTAATGAAACTACTTACATATTGAATTAATTAAATATCATTTGTATTTACGTAAAGTGTTTATATTAAAGTAAATAAATACTTAGCAAGCAGGCGATAAGACAGGGGGTAAAATGCATGACTTTAAATTATTTCATTTTGCTCAACTCGCCCCTATGGATCCAAAACCGCCCATATAACTTTTTCGATATTTGTAGTGTAGTTTTATTCTCCTTTACGTCTGACTGCGAACATCTCTTTTTCATTTCCTCTACTCCCCGTAGTAAGGCCAACTTGTTAGCCTTGCCTTACCGGTTACTCGTCACTGTTCTCCGCCCATCCGGATGCAGTATGATAGTAAGTCGTTTCGCCGTACCTCAGAAAATGTTAAAAGAAAAGTGAAGAGATTATGGGATAAAAATATGTTTGCTTTACTTTCATAAAACTGAATAAGTAATTTTATATTACATGAAGTCATAAAAGAATTTTTCATTCGACTTGTACATTTCAAATAATAATTCATAAGTAGAACAGAAATATTATTTTCATATTTACCAGTCACAACGGAATCTTTAAAAATATCTACTGGTCTAACCAGAGGAGAGTTAGGCTCCGGCGCAGAGCTCCTGTACTTCCCAATTTTTGAGATAAATCATAATTCTAAATGGAATGCTCCGTAGCCCATAAATAAAAGGACTTCAGAACGTTTTTCATCCAAGTTAACCACAATTTCAACAGAAAATTCTTTTGATCTCGAAAATTTTAGTTTAATAATAAATAAGCCTTAAAATCGGTTCTTTTCTACGCATGCCTGCTTTTAGCCGCGAAACAAACTCTTAGGTTAAGTTTTTTCAAAAAAGCAAAGCCTGCACTCACGTGTCAAAGATTTATTCTCCAGGATGTGCAATAAATTTATTTCAGCAGGTAAATCTATCCTTTCCAGAAGTATTAGAACTGATCACCCTGGTTATGCACGTCTAATGCTAGTGGATTCCTAAGAAAAGTACAGCTTTTCGTAACGATGTAGCCAAATACGGGGTGGACTTTGTCTCTCGTACAGAACCTTACTTTTGTTCTCAGCATACATATTAAGCTAAATTAGAGCCAAATGTTTCCGTGTATGACATTCTGCTTGACAACTAAATTTATATCGACAGATATTCGTGGTCAGAAAGTGTTCTGTCTATTCTCATTTGTAACGCTTTAACCATTTTAGTTTTTTACATTCATGTGCTGGGTAAAGAATAATCTTTGTGTCTATCATCACTTCAGATTAAACATTATATTATATAT